CTTATATTATCTTCTTCTTTTCGTCTCACAAAAATTTTGAATTCGATCGATGATAAAGAAAGAGAACTCTTGATTCAGATTTTGAAATTTTTTGCTCGAATTACCATCGCTTCCATTTTCCCAAACATAGCCTTAGCTCCGTCCGAATTTCCAATATAGTTTCGTGCCTCGAACTTGTACTATCGCAAATACACAATTTCCCGAAAATTTCTTAGAATTCCTCGTAAAGGGCACGCCTATGACTCATGGGGTTAGTATGGTGCACAGGAAAATTAATCCAAAATAACCTAATTGCTACACCCAAAAAGAAGATCATAACTTTGGACTTGTCGTTCAAAATTGGAACAAAACAGGGAAACTAATTTTGACTCAAATGAATTCATTGTTTAATCCCAAATTGAAACATTTTCTGCTTTTTACCTCCCCATAATAAAGCAAGACCAAGTGCATACATCTCAAATTAGACTCTTGTGTGAAGTTTCTGTTTAGCCTTTTATATGGGTTACCTTTTACATGTAGAAAACAAGACCAGAAAAGGGTCCATGAATGAGGAGGGGAAAAGGGAAAAGCAATAAGAGTTTCTGCTAAAGCGAATAAAACGCTTAGGGATCATGAAAAAGCATTTTACGTGACAGATATACAATGTGACACCGATAACATGGTGTGATCGACCAATCGTTGTTACTCGTGCATTATTGATCTTATCCTATTTTTTACCATGTATATGTGAACCGTTTTATTTTGATCGATCATATGAAATGTCGCTGTCAAGCTACGTATCTGTCGCATCAAATAGCTTCTTAGGTTTAAAGAGATAACTAGACTCCCCTCCTTTTCTCGAACAAGGTGTGGCCACTTTTCTCTTTTTATTCTTGCATGATTATCCACCATAAATGGTGGGTCATGGCCTTAGATTACCCATTCCCATAATTTACGTTATATGATATCATTTGAAATGATATCCCTCCCACTATCACCCCCCCATCCCCCCTTTTTTCATGTAGATGAGAACAAAACGCCTGTGTTCAAAGTCAAAAGAGGCCTCTGGAGCCATTTTCAGCAGTTAAAATGCATGCTCATAAAGTGCGAAATGTACGGGGGACCATAGCATTTGCCCAATGGTCGCGAAAAATAGACAGTCGTTGATATCGGGTCGGACCGGTAAATAAGAAAACGCCGACAACCCCGATCAATTGATTATGGTTTGAAAAAAGAAACAAGGTAATTCTGAGTTGGGTAGCTCGAAATGATGATTACGAGAACACCGGAACATGTCGGCTTTACTGCTTGTAAATGATTGGTGAAGCTATCTTGACTTGTATCTCGCAAATCAAATCTCAGTGCACAAAACATATATCTGATTCCAGTCTTTTTTGTTTCTCCAGATTTCACAAAGATAGTGGCGTAAGATGTTGCATGATCGATGAAGAACTTGATGATTCTCCCACTTCCACGAGCAATGTATGCGATGATCACGAAGCATAAACATGATAATCGCACGGCCGTTTGTCCGACCCTTTGAGAAATAAAGTTCTGGCTTTCAAACCAGGAACTTCAAGAGTACTTTAAAACTACTGAAAATGCATTTCAAGTAAATAGAACCGAACCCTAAACACGCACGAGATTGAATCATGAACCAAATGTTTATTAATGCATGGAATGCGACGGCATATAATGAACCTCGTCATGAGAATGAGATTAACATTTAGTCGATGATCGAGACGGAATGAACAGTGCGATCGCTTAGGACCATGATGTCGGATCGATCGATCGAGCATCTATTATTGCTTATCCAATAATTATTCAAAGCCAAACAAAAAAGTTGGACCTACCATAGAAAGAAAAAAAAACAGATCGAATGTAAAACGGTCATGACTTTTGATCCCGGAAGAGTTACGGGCCCATCATACAATCCGAAATGCTTGTTACGAGCACTATACTTGGGCCAAACGAATTGCCTCATTCACAGCTGTTTCGAACCTCAAAACCCATCGTTCAGGCGTGTTTCGGCCGTTTTTATGTCACTTTTCCGAGTTATTTGGGCTTGTGCTCGTTTTCTCGAAGTCTTAACTGCTAATGGTTATTTTCGGATTTTTCAGTGTCACCTAGGTAAGCAATGTATTCATTTGATCTTTTTCACGTATCCGATAGCCTCCGTCCTATTTTACGAAATACGGAAATTTCTCTCTATACTTGCGATTGTGACCGTCTGCGCCCGAGTACGTCTTTCCAGAATGTTATAAATTATTACTGTTGTTATTATACGACTGTTTAGAACCGTAGTCTACCATAATCTTACTCTTCTTCTTCTTCTTCTTTTGAACCCTTGGACTTCCCAAAGAAATTTTTGTTGGGGGACGTGACCTTCGATCAAATCTTGGACCCCACTGAGTAGTGATTTTGTTCAATTCCGCAACAGAAAAAGAGAAGAAGGAAAATGATACTTCATCTCATAATATCTTCTTAGTTAGTCTCTCATCTTGGGCCAGGTCTCTCTCATCTTAGTTGAGGAATTTACTTTGATGCTGCGTACGAAAAGGGGAGAGACAAAAAAGCACGTGTTTTCTCCTAATGTAAGCCCAAAATTGAATGGGATGTGGCTGCAAAAGTCAAGAAGTTGGACTTCTCAACTCAAGCCCATCCTATTGAGCAAAAAATCAAAGACAAAGAAAAGAATAATCAAGCCCATATTGTTGATTTTGACTCTTCTCTTTTGGAAAAATATCACATGGCATGCTTGGTACAAGAGGAATCAGTCATGGAACTATGAACATTCTTTTTTTGTTTGGTAGAGACTTTGGATGCATGGAATTATTGAAGGGTTTTTATCGGTTCCGAAAAATCGGGACTGGGAATCGAACCGGCGAAAAGATTTTGTAAAAATTAGAATTAACATTACACAGCATAAGATTCTTTCTCTTGAGTACAAAAATCGCTCGCCAAGGGGTTGCGCGGGCGTGTTTCCATGTCGACATTGTACCGAAGCGACCGTGGCGACCCGGGACGTTTCCCCAATCTCAAGTTGGCCGCTCCATTCCATACACACGTGAGAGGAGTTTTCTTAAAGTTGTGATTGCGGGGCATATTGAATTTCGGCGTTAAAGTCCTTTCCATTTTAAAGTTCAAATTATCAAAATGAAAAGAAGGAAAACAAATCGTCATATCTTCACTATATCTTCCTTTCGTCTTTGCCCAAATGGCAAAGGTAGAAATGCCGACTCCACTCCATTTCACTGCCCATTCTATTCCCTGACCAAGCCCATCCCGTCGCACCAAATCCAGCCTAAGATCTTGTGCCTTTTGTTCTAAGCAACAATAATAGCGACAATAACTAATTTACGAAATGACAACACAGTTTTGTTTCCGAATGATTGAATATGACTCGCTGTTTAAATACTCATTTATTATAATTGATGGTATCCCTTTACAAACAAATTTTGTAATTTCGAATCTCCATATTGTATTCCTGCTCCTTGAGTTAACAAAAATATTTAGGGAAAATTATCTAAAAAGTCTAAAACCTTTTGTAATTACGCCAATTCAATCTTAAACCTTTCAACAATTTGCCAATTGAGTCCATCTAGGAATTTGCTAACGTGGATGCTAGTCGTCTTATGTGGCATGGCTAGCGCTAACATGGACAATTTTTAATAATATTTTAATATTTTTTTGAATTTTTTACTTTATTTTATTCTTTTTCCTTTTCCTTTGTTTCTCTTTTCCTTCTTCTGTTTTTTTCTTTTTACTATGGCCAGCGAGGGCCGCTGAAACCCTCGCTAGCCGCGGGCATGGGTTGTGCGGCCCTCACCCAGCGTCACCTAGATCTAGGCGAGGCCGCCTACGCCCGCAGCCGCCTTCGCAGTGCGAAAGCCATCTCGACAATGGCAAAAGCAGAAGTAGAAGGATCGAACACGAAGCCAGGAGGGATGACGCGTGGCCTCCGTTCTTGATGGTGGGCAATGCACGGGGCACAGGCAAAGGTGGCCTCGCCCAGTGACCAGCGAGGGGCCACCAGGCCCTCCCCGGCCACAGTAAAATAAATAAATAAGGAAAAAAGGAAAAAGATAAGAAAATTAATAAATAAAAATAAAAATTCGAAAAAAAAATAAAAAATTTGTCAACGTCGGCCATCTTATGTGGTACAACCGGCGTCCACGTCAATGAATTCTGGTCAAAATTGGCCGAATGGACTCAATTGTCAAATTTTCAAAAGGTTTATGACACAATTGAAAAAATTAAAAGGTTTATGACTGAATTGGCAAAACTTGAATAGATTTAGGATTTTTTGGACCATTTATCCAAAATATCTATGACTTTTGACTAACTCAAAACCACTTATTCCAGAAAACTATCATGGGTCGGTCACTGACCAACAAATACATTGAATATAGCATATTCTGGACACAAGCCTGCAATTTCAAAGTCATCGTGGGTCGTCTCTCTTGCTCGTACAATAATCACGGGGTAGACAAAACAAAACAGAGCGGTGCCCACCATGTTAGAACCAGTCTCCAAAAAATTAGGGTTTTCACATGGTACGCTGGCCGTGCAGAAACATCAATTGCACAGGCGGGGTTCAAGCATTGACACGTATACGATTTTAAACTTCGGTATATGATGAATTCATTCTAGCAGCAGATGAATGTTCTGATCTCCTGACTGCCTGTGGAAAAAATACTTTACGCGGACATTGTGCCTTCTACAGATCGAGATAATTATCATATTCAGCATTTAATAAGAGTATGCCACGCAACTTAGTATACGAAATTTCAAAAAATCGGTCTTGGCCTTCGTGTGTCCTACGTTATTGAACAGAGTACGTCCACAAATTCAAAGTCTGAAGGTCAGTCAAGTCGTCCCATTCAAGTTTGTCCCCACGCATGTGGAAATTTGTGTCCCCAGCCATCATATTCCAATTCATACGGACAGGGTCACCCGGCAATTCCCTCTCCCCATCAATCTACTATAAATGCACCATGCCCTTGCCCTTCTCTTCGCTCAACATCGCAATTTAAGACATTGTTTTACATACATCTCTCAGCCATGAGTCGAAACACGCTCATCGACCTCCTCGTCGCATGTTTCGCCCTCGCCGCCTTGGTCGTGCCGCATGTGACAGCCCAGAACTGCGGATGCGCCGCCGGCCTCTGCTGCAGCCGTTTCGGTTACTGCGGGACCGGCCACGACTACTGCGGACCGGGTTGCCAAGCCGGCCCCTGCGACCCCGCCGCGGCCCCGCCCGCCACTAACGCAGTCGTGGTCGGTGACATTGTCACCGACGCCTTCTTCAACGGGATCATCAACCAAGCGGCTGCAAGCTGCGCCGGAAAGAGGTTCTACTCGAGGCAAACGTTCCTCAACGCCCTCGGTAGCTTCCCGAGGTTCGGCCGGGTCGGGTCGGTCGACGACTCGAAGCGCGAGATCGCCGCTTTCTTCGCTCATGTCACGCATGAGACTGGACGTAAGTTGGACTAGTCTTCTTCTCTCCTTTTCATGCATGTTCTTATTCTTGTGCACCGTGCAACATTAGTTTTGGATATATAAACGAACAATTTACAGTATAAAAGGTCCTCTATTGTGGCAAGAATAAGTAATATCAGAAAAAATATTTCTCTCAAAATAAATGTAATGAAAGCTTTACTAGAGAGAAAAAAAAGTCATGTAGCCAAGCAAAAAATCATTTATCATTACACCACTATCTCCGAATACACATGTCGCTTATACATGATGAATGTGTAAAAAGTTTTTTACATTGGCAGTGGATACAATGATAATCCTTAATAATCAATACCATAAGACTCAAAAGTTGCAATAAAATACTTATACATTTCTCCTTTGCAGATTTTTGTTATATCGAAGAGATAAATGGGCAAACCGATCCCCAAAAGATCTACTGCGACCCCAACGTGCCACAGTACCCGTGCAAACCGGGCAAGAGGTACTTCGGGCGAGGACCCCTCCAGATCACATGGAACTACAACTATGGCCCAGCCGGCCAAAGCATTGGGTTCGACGGGCTCAACTCGCCGGAGACCGTCGCGAACAATCCCGTCATCGCCTTCAAGGCCGCCCTGTGGTTTTGGAGTAGCAACAACCTCCAGTCCAAGCTCTCGGGCCAAGGGTTCGGCGCAACAATCCGAGCCATTAATAGCATAGAGTGCAACGGGATGAACCCTGGAGCTGTTCAAAACCGGGTCACGTATTACACTAACTACTGTAAGCAATTTGGGGTTGCACCTGGTGCTAATCTCAGCTGTTAAGGGTCTCCGATCAGCACTAGTCAATGTGGGTACAAACTTTGACAATAATGTACCCTAGAAAACAGCCTCTCTCTGCCTAGTGTAGCTTGGTCATCAGGACGAATAACGACCTTCTTGCACTAGTAATGTTAGAAAAACCCTAAAGAGAAAGGGGATGATGAAATAAAAATCTTGCTTTTGCTGTGAACAGATATATGGATGTGGGACATAATTTGATTGAATTAACTGTTCATACGAAACTCTTTTGTCTAGATCAAAATCGACATGGAGATCCGAGTCAAACCAAAGCAGTTGACTTGAGCATGTTAATAGTCCTCTGACTTGGTCAAGATGAGCGTACTAAGACATTTTGGGGAGCATATAAGTCCAAAAGTGACATTTAGGTGCTGCTCTTATCAAGTGGTTCTTCAATTTTGCCACAACCGTTTGACTAAATTTTCGCCAAACTAGATAAATTTCGAAAGCTAGAATAAAATTCGGATAACCCATGAATAAATATATATTTTGCTTTCGTTCCCTTACATATTATTCTGAAGGAGTTGGATGTCCCAGATCGCAAGTCTAATCAAGGGCAATATATTTATCGAATTGATCGGGAGATTAGCAAGGTAATAAGAGGTTCATAAATACCAAATCTCGAATTATATAAGATAACTTATAAAGATAAGAGCACCGTATCAAAAAATCTAAAATTTATAGCGAAATTCTAAAGTATAATAAATATCGCAATCTAGACTTGATCGAATCGACAATCCACGGGCCGTCCGGCCATATATCCAGGGTGTCAATATGATCACGACCCGAAAGCAATGAATATGTGTGATTGGCCCACCAAACAAGACCCGAACATGATATAGCCGCACGATCGGGTCGGTTCGGGTCGGGTCGCTTTGGTTCGGTTCGGGTTCGTGTTTTAGATTTTATTATAAATTAAGGTTAAGATTACTTAGGCGTCAATGGGTCGGGTTGGGTCTAGTCTCCACGCTCGCTCGCCCGAATCATAAAAGATATGTGGACTCTTGACCCGAACCGAACATGACCCAAACGCAAAACCGGGTTGGGTTTCGAGTCTTTTGATTCAAACTAATATTTGACGCTTCCCATGTATCTCCGGTTTTTGTCGCCTCGATTGCCTCTAAATTCGGGATTCTAATTGCCTCTCATCTCCGTTCTCACGTTTCGGTTATTAACGTGGGTCGGGATGTTCGAAACCATGCTTTTACCGATTCTGTCATGGATTTGCCGGGAATTACATCATGTTGTCCCATCATTTGCTTGAAAGTTATCGGATTTGATGCAAGTATGCATCTTTGCTTGATGTACTTATCAAGTTATCTACCAAAGATACAAATGCAGATGAAGACTTGAAATTTTGCCGGTTGAATTGTTGATCTAGTGACAACTTCGAGACGGACTATGGTGACTCGTGAGCTCTTTGGACCGGATGACGATGGCGAGTAGATGAGAGGACGGAGGCAAAGTCGCGAGGAGGACAAAGTTGACGACGGCGGGCGATTTCACGTTCGGAGGAGGACGAAGTTGAACGACAATGCTACAAAGTGAAATGTGTTTCGGTTCTTAAAAAAAAAAAATTATGTGTTTCGGTTCGGTTCGTGTTATAAACATGAACCGAAACGAAACCATTGAGATACCCATTTGCTTAGCGTACCCGAACATGAAGTTGACCCGGCCCGAAAATACCCAAAACTTCGGATCGGGTCGGGCGGTTCATGTTGGTTCGGGTATATTGTTTGGTTTTGACACCCTAGCCGAGATGGCACTTTTGGGCAGGCTTGAGCAACACTATTTACTTATAAAGTCTGGCTCGACTTAGCCTTGCACCGAAAATTTCAAACATAAGATTTATTTTTTTGTCCTTGGTGGATTTGGGCAATAAATTAGGCCCGCTAAGTAGGGGCATGCAAAAAAAATCGAGAATTGCCCAAACGGGATCGAATCGCCCAGAAAGCCGGTTCATGGGGACCGATCCGATTCATAGTTCCAATTTACTTGGAACCAGTGAGTACTAGTCCGGTTCCGCATTCCAAATGGGAACCGCACCGCTTACTCGGACAAATATATATGTGTGTGTGTGTGTAAAATATTTTTTTTAAAAAAAATATTCACCCTCAACTATAACTTCCTTGAAGATTGAGCAAGAACTTGAGTCAATTGAAATACAGAGGCCTTCTCTAGTGTATCCTTCAAAATTATGGATTGATAAAACCAGAAAAGCATCAAATGTCAATTGAAATACACAAGTATTCATTATTTAAACAATTAACTCGTCGTTCATGTGTCTATCGAAGAGTAGAATTTCATTTCTTAGTCCGTCTAGACTTCGTTTGAAGGACAAAGGAAATCATTTTGTGAGCATACGTTGTTTAGGCATATGTGAGATTCACAATTGATTTGATCAGCATCTACCAATTGAAAGGCATTATGGCATTAAGATTTCCAAGGCATAGCCACCAATAGGTAAGGTTATTTTTCCTTGATCAATCAAAGATCGAACAAACTGGTTTACCCCAATCTTAGCTACAAACCGATATATATATACACACACACACATTTTCCCTTGCAAAGAAGTACTCATATAGAAATTAGGTTCACCATGGTATTGATTGATGAATGCAAATTTATAAGGATTAGGGACCAGTTCCATGGACTCACTTGGGAACCGGATCAAACCGGGTGAATCCATGGAATCAACAAGCGGTTCTTGGTTCCAAGGTGGGACACGCCCACTCAGACCATGCTCATCCTATCACCGAGACCAGCCATTAATTATCTCTGTGCAACCAAATCCTAATGATTATGACATATAAACATGATAATTATAATCCGCGTTTCTCAGGCCCTTTAAAAAATAAAGTTTTGGCTTTTAAATCAGGAATTTAAATTAATGTTCTAGAATTTCAAAAGTTTCATGGAAAAGCTATAGGTGATTTTAATGTTTATCAAAATTCATAAATTTTTCCAAGGTTTGGATAAGTAAAAGCAAAATCCAAAAGTCAGAGTTTCCCTAAACACACAAGGTTATATTATGAACCAAATGTTTATTAATGTGCGATGCATCCAATTTTCAAAAAAAGTTATTGAACCTCGTCATGAGAATGAGATTCACATTAGTCAACGATGAAGATGGAATGGACAGTCGATCGCTCAAGACCAATGATGTCGAATCGATCAAGCATCTACTACTGCTTATCCAATTATTATTTTGATGCAAAACAAAAACGTGGACCTACCAGAAGAAAAAAATATATATGCTTGTCAATCCCTTTCGATCCTTGAATTTGGTTCCACGATTTAAATTAGCATCTCCGTCGCCAAACATCTCAACTATGAGGAAAAAAAAAAGACATCACGTTAGTTCTTTGGGTTTGTCGTTAAGATGGCGATTGGGACGTAAACGCGGCCACTAATGACTTTCCAGAGCTTTCAGACAGTAAAAAATCTAATAGGCGGGCTTGGTTAAACAATCCGTGCAGTGTGCGAGAAAACGGTCATAACTTTTGATACATATTAGTTATGAGGTCTATACTATCAATTAAAAAAAATCTGTTCATTTCGAGCATATATTTTGCCCATGTAGGGTTTCTCCTTTGCAGTTGTTTCGGACCTTAAAATCCATAGTTTTCAGCGTGTTTCGAGGCACTTTCTATTTTTATGTCATTTTCCCAGGTATTTTAGGCTTTTTTGTTGATTTTCCAAAATCTTTACTGCTTAATGTTATTTTCTGATTTTTCAATATTACCTAGGTTAGCAAGGTACTTATTTAATCTTTTCCATGTATTAATATTTTCCGTGATTTTGCCGTATCATCAATACTAATATTCAGTCTATTTAATTAGCTATTATCTCAAACCCCAATTTTATGGACATCAAAACGACATTTTTCCATCCCTCACCCTCTCTTTTTCTTTTTTTGTTTCCCTTTTCCAACCTTTTTTTGATGATCAATCCAGATCTACCTCAAGGGTTTTAATCAAAGTTCACGTTTCTAAAGTTAATTTCCTTGCTTATTCTTTCTTCAAAATATAAATTATATCGCTCACCGTCCTCTATAATTTGTTAAAATTCTTTGAGTCATCACGTACTCGAATTTCCGGATTTTCTTTCTACCTTTTTCATCACTTTGATTTCAAAAAATACTCTTAAGTCGAGCCACCTCTGACCTAGCTACTGAGAGTTAATATTATTAGAAGTTGCACCGAAAAATAATTTTGCAATTCAAATTTTATTTGATATAGTTACTAATAATGAAAAATGACCCTATAGTCATACTACAATAATCAAACCATCTGCAATATTCACAGTATAGACATCTGGTCTTCCCATTTTTCGCAGGATAATGCCCTTGTTCGATTTCAATTGATGGAACCCTAGGATTTTCCAAAGAAATTTTTATAGGGGCTCACGTATTTCTTCAATTAGGCACGTGACCTTTGATCAAATCTTGGACCCCACCGAATCATGATTTTGTTTTCTCAAAATGTTAGCCCAAAATGAATGCAATATGCCTCCGTTTGTTTATTTAGTAGAAAATAATTTAAAATAATATATTTGCTACCATTACCCTTTCTATTTCATGACCAACTCCATCCCGTCGCTCTAAACGTAGGCTAAGATCTCATAAATAAGGGTTAATACCACGAAAAACCCCAAACTGGTATACCTGCAGCAAATTTTTTTTATTTTTTTCTTTTCTTTTTTCCTTCATCTTCAACCTCTGGCCGGCGAGGTTGGCTCCGCAGGTGAGGTCGGCCCCGCCGGCCGCTGGCGAGGCCAACCTCACCGGCAACTAGCGACGTCGACCTCACCGGCAACTAGCGACGTCGACCTCGCCGGCAACTAGCGAGGTCGGCCTTGCCCGCCCTTGGCAAGGTTCGACCTCGCCAAATGCCGGTGAGGGGTCGTCCTCACTATCGCTGGCGAGGCTCGGCCCCGCCGGCAACTGGCGAGATCGGCCGAGGCTCAACCTCGCTGCTTCTGGGCGAGGGCTCGAACTCGTCGGCGCTGGCAAGGTCGGCCTCGCCCAGAAGCGGCAAGGTTGAGCCTCGGCCGACCTCGCCAGTTGCCGGTGGTGCCGAGCCTCGCCAGCGACGGCAAGGACAACCCCTCGCCAAGGGCGGGCAAGACCGACCTCGCCAATTGCCGGCGAGGTCGGCCTTGCCAGCGGCCAGCGGGGCCGACCTCGCCGGCCAGAGGTTGAAGATGAAGGGAAAAAAAAAGGAAAGGAAAAAGAAAAGAAAAAAATTGAAAAAATAAATAAAATAATATTAAAAAATTAGTTCGGGGTAAAATTGTTTCAAGTGTACAAGTTTGGGGTTTTTGGTAGTCAAAAAAATAGTTCGGGGTAAAATTGTCGCAGGTGTACCAGTTTAGGGTTTTTCGTGGTATTAACCCTATAAATAAACTAATTTAATGCTTGATTTAAATACTCATTTATCATAATTGATCATAACTCTTTGCAAACTAATTTGTAATTTCGAATCTCCCTATTTATATTCTTACTCCCCCAGTTGACAAAAATATCTAAAACTTTTGACATACTCACAGCAACTCATTCAACAAAACATCATAGATTGGCCAATGACCAATGCATCGGGAAAATTATCTAATCAGTTCTAGACCTATTGTACAGATATCAATTCAGCCCTAAACGTTTCGATTTTGTCAATTTAATCCTAAACTTACGCTTGAAATTTCAATGTAGTCATTCTGGTCAATTTTCGTATAAAATCGCTTACGTGTTGGTCCAATTATTGCTGGTCGTATGTGGAATTTTCATCATAAGTGCATACCACCACGTCAACGATTCCAAGCAAGAATTAGTCAAAAGAACTACATTAGAATTTTGCATAAATATTTAAAATTTAATTGATAAAATTAAAAAATTTAAGATAAATTAGTATTTATATAATAGATTTAGAATTGATTCGACAATTTCTCCGCTCTACGTCTGTGGTTGAGAAAGAAGTAAGGATGGTACATCGGATCGGGAATAGTACATTTTGGACACAAGCTTGGCATTTTAAGTCAAAGTCAACGTCGGATCTCCGGAATAAATAAATAAAAAAAACCTCGGATCGGCTGCAGTACCTTTCACAAAATAGTATATCGGATAGGGCATAGTACCAAAATTGATTCCACGCTAACACACGAGTACCCTTCATTAGATAACACATTGGATAAGGCATTGTATGCTTTGGACGCAAGATTGTCATTCCAAAGCCAAAGTCAACGTTGTGTTAGTCTCTCTGGATCCTACAATCACGGGGTAGATAACGTAAAGTAGAGCAGTTCCAAGCTTATTAAAACTAGTCTCCATGAATTTGGGATTCTTATTCGGTACGCTAATGTTGTAGAAAGCTTAATTATACGAGCAGGGCTCAGGCGCTGATATGTATAGTGTATACGGGATTTTTTTTATTTCGGTAAATGAATCCATTCCATTAACACATGAGAATTTCCATTTCATGATTGACCATGTGAAAACTCATTTTACATCGGCGATATACTTTATGCGAATCTATATGATCAATACATTCAGCTATGTAATAGACTGTATAAGTGGATATTTTATATGAGACTAGAGTATGCCAACACAACAAGTACATCCCACGTTATTGAACATTGTATGCCCTCGAATTCAACGTCCGAAGGTGAGTCAACCTCGTCCAGCTAGTTCAATTCACATGCATTTGTAAGTTTTGTCCTCATCCATCAAATTTCGATTCATCAAGACCGAGTCACCCAGCAATTCGCTCCCCATCGGTCTACTATAAATACGCCATGCCCTTCCCTTCGCTCCACATCGCAAATCAATGCATCGTCCGAGCCATACCTCTATCAACATGAATCGGAACACGCTTCTCAACATCCTCGTCGCATGCTTCGCCCTGTTCGCCTTGGTCACGCGTCGTGTGACTGCCCAAAACTGCGGATGCTCTGCCGGCCTCTGCTGCAGCCGGTACGGTTACTGCGGGACCAGCCAGGCCTACTGCGGACCGGGTTGTAAAGCCGGCCCTTGCAGCTCCACTGCGGCTCCGCCCACCACTAACGGGGTCGTGGTCGGCAACATCGTCACCTCCACTTTCTTCAACCGGATCATTAACCAGGCAGCTTCGAGCTGCGCCGGGAAGAGGTTCTACTCGAGGCAAGCGTTCCTCAACGCCCTCAGTAACTTCACTAGGTTCGGGCGGGTCGGGTCAGTCGCCGACTCGAAGCGCGAGATCGCCGCTTTCTTCGCTCATGTCACGCATGAGACTGGACGTAAGCTCTCCTTTTCGTGTACGTTCTCATTTTTATGCACCACGCACGATTAGTTTTGGATATGTAAATGAATAATTTGCAGTTTAAAAAGTCCTCTAGGTCCTCTCTTTGAGGCAGCACTAAGTAACATCGGAAAAATATTTCACTGAAAATAAACGTCATTATTAAGGAGAAAAGAAGTCATGTAGCCATGCGAAAATTGTGTGCAAGGACCGTTTAAAATTAAATTTTTATTAGATCCCCACCACATTCAGTATAAAGAACTTTTTACAAATTTATTGTCACACGACTATTTTCAAATTCACATGTCATTCATCCAACGAGAAATATGTAAAAAGACTTTTACATTGATCGTGGACACAATGATGATTTATTAAAAATTTAAATACCACGAGACTGAAAAATTTCAATACAATACTTGTACATTTGTTTTTTGCAGACTTTTGTTATATCGAAGAGATAAATGGGCGTACTGACCCCAGAAAGACTTACTGCGACCGTAGTGTGACACGGTACCCATGCAAGCCAGGCAAGAAGTACTTCGGCCGAGGGCCCCTCCAGATCACGTGGAACTACAACTATGGCCCAGCCGGCGAGAGCCTCGGGTTCAATGGGCTCAACTCACCGGAGACCGTCGCGAACAACCCCGTCATGGCCTTCAAGACCGCCTTGTGGTTCTGGAGGACCAACAACCTCCAGTCCAAGCTCTCGGGCCAAGGGTTTGGCGCAACGATCCGAGCCATTAATGGCGGAGAGTGCAGCGGGGCAAACCGTGGAGCTGCTCGAGCCCGGGTCACGTATTACACTAATTATTGTAGGCAATTTGGGGTTGCACCTGGTCGTAATCTCTACTGTTAGGGGTTCGCGATCGGGATTGATCGATGTGGGTACAAACTTTGACAATAATGTACTCTAAAAACAGCTTTTCTCCGCCAAACATAGCTTGGTAATCGGGATGAAGGATGATGAAATAAAGATGTTGCTTTTGTTAAGCAATTTAATGACCCTTTTGGTTATTCGATTTATGTAGTCACATATTCAGAAGAGTACCACGTAAATCCAAAGTAATGGCATCAGAGAGAGAGAGAGAGAGAGAGAGAGAGAGAGAGATCTTAGTCAAGATGAGCTACCTAAGACATTTTGGGAAGCATATAAGTTCAAAAGTGACATTAACAGCTGTTGATCTTCAATTTGCCACCACCATTTGATTAAATTTTCGCCAAACTAGATAAATATCAAAGCTAGAATGAAGGGAAAATGACACAAATTGTCTCAAACTTTAATTCAATGTGCAATGTCGTCCCTAAACTGGATCCATAAACTTTAGTTCAATGTTCAATGTGGCCCATTGTTGCGCTGAAATTGCTCCTGCGAAGAAATGTAATTCATTGAAAGTTGTTTTTCGGCTTTTGATGAGGATAGACCCAGTTCTATGGTGACTTTGCATAGGAGATATCCATGCGAGAAAATGAATCCATTTATTTCAGCCAAAGATAATACAGACTATAACATGTTAGTATCTAATCGACGGCAAACCCAAACCGTACAATCAACTTCATTACAAACTAATCAACGACGGTATTGACTTACAACAAAGTATTGCATTGGTATCTCGTCAATAGCATAACACATGAATACACTAAACCATAAGGATCTACAATTAATGAAAATTGAAACTACAATGCAGAAAGCTTAAAGAATGAAAAGATAACATTTTGGTTGATTTTCGGGGGGTTTCGCTGGCTATCGAGTGCTATTTATAGTGAAGGTATGATAGCCATTCCTCACCAACGTCAGTCCGTGCTCTTTGAATAACTTATGTCGATCCTATCTTTGTCCTTTATTTCCGCAATCTCAAATTATCCACGTTCTTAAATAACTGTCTTCATCACGTCCGAAACTTTTTGCTCTTGTCGATAACCTTTATGACCAAGTCTTCGAGTCGTAACTGTTCCCTCTTCAATTTCGGTTGTCTTAAGTTTCAAATATTTAATATTTCCCGCCAACACTATAATTAGCAGCTACCAGCTGTCTATCGTCGCACTTTGATAACCAAACACATGGCATATTCAAAAGATACATTACTCCCCTATCGATGGATGTACGTATACTAAACATAAGTCACATGATACACATGCGGTTGTTTTCATTTTTGACCTCTATATTATGTACTTCTTTAATTTTCGTGTAATTTCTTTTGCCATCGACAACCAAATTATTTTTGGGTGTCAACACCCCTCAACTTTTAAACATTATTATATAGTCTAGGGATTATATTGTACATTTACTGATAGTTTAGGGACCACATTGAACAAATTAAAAGTTTAAGGACAATATTGTACATTGGATCAAAGTTCAACCACATTGCACAAATCAAAACTTAAGGAATAATATTGCACGTTGAGTCAAAGTTCCGACACTTTTTGTGTTATTATCCTTAGAATGAAATATGGATAACCCGTGACTACTTGATCGTTGCTTTTGTTCCCTTAGATATTATTAAGAAGGAGTTGAATGTCCCGAATCACAAGTGTAATCAAAGGCAATATATTTATCTATTGATTAGGAGATTAGCGGAGAAGACAAAATTATAAGCATGGGAGCACCGTACCGAAGAATCTAAAGCTAATAAGAACGTACAATTAAACATCTAAAGCATTCGGATAGTGCAATTTAGATCCGATCATGAAATTGGCGATCCATGCTCGCGGCCAGCAAGGGCCGCCGGGCCCTCCCCAGCCACTTTAAATAAATAAATAAGGAAAAGAGAAAAAAATATTAATAAAACATTCGAAAAAATGTTAAAATATTATTTAAAACTATTTACCTCAGCACCGATAATCTTAAGTGACACGGCCGGCATCCTCATCAATGAATTTCGGCCAAAATTGGCCAAATAAGCTCAATTGTCAAATTTTCAAAAGATTTATGATTTAATTAGCAAAATTAAAAAATTTAAAATTGAATTGACAAAACTCCAATAAATTTAGAATTTTTGGATAATTTTCCCAAAATATCTGTGACTTTTGACTAACTCAAAGCAACTTATTCCACCCATTGACCAACAAATACATTTAATCGGTCATATAGCATATTTTGTAAAAAGCCTGCCATTTCAAAGTCGTCTCTCTTGCTCGTACTATCACGGGGTAGACAATACAATATAGGGCAGTGCCCACCATATAAAAACCAGTGTCCATAAAATTATGGTTTTCATATGGTACACTGACCGTGCAGAAACATCGATTGCACAAGCATGGTTCGAGCATTGTTGATACGTATACGGTTTTAAATTTCGGTAAATGAATTCATTCCGTTAGAATATAGATGAGAGTTCCGATTTCCTGACTGTCCGTGTAAAAAATAGTTTTCCCAGACATTGTGCCTTTTACGAATCGAGATAATTACCATATTCAATAGGGTAATTAACTGTGTAAGGGGATATCTAAATAAACTAGATCATACTCAACATTTAATAAGAGTGTGCCATGTAACTTAATATATGAAAATTCTAAAAAATGGTCTTTGTCTTCTTATGTCCCACGTTATTTTTACTTTTTTTTATCTATCCTACTCTAACTCTTAACTCACTCTGAGACTTTTATCCTATCTCGCGCGTGAAAATCAAAAATCATATCTAAAACTAAGCGTTCCCACTTCTAAACCCTTCTGAGAAGGCCACCGGAGCAAACCAGAGTGGATTTTATGTCCCGCGTTATTTGACGGAGTCTTGTCCTCGAATTCAAAGTCTGAAGGTTAGTAAAGTCAACCCATTGTAGTTTATCCACGCGCATGTGTCCCCGTCCATTGAATTCTTTTGTTTTATCGTCGAACCGTCCATTGAATTCCGATTCATCAAAACCAGCTCACCCAGCAATTCCCTCCCCACCAATCTACTATAAATACACCACGCCCTTCTCTTCGCTCAACATCGCAATTCAATACATTGTCCAAAACATACTTCTCTCGCCATGAATCAAAACGCAAATATCGACATCCTTGTCGCATGTTTCGCCCTCGCTGCCTTGGTCGTGCCGCATGTGACCGCCCAAAATTGTGGGTGCGCTGCCGGCCTCTGCTGCAGCCGTTGCGGTTACAGTGGGACCGGCCGCGACTACTATGGACCGAGTTGCAAAGCCAGGCCCTGCGGCCCCGCTTGCCACTAACGGGGTTGTGGTTGGCAACATCGTCACCTCCGCAACCAGGCAGCCACGAGTTGCGCCGGAAAGAGGTTCTATAGCATCCTGAAATTCATGGCCAAAGGTTTAAAGGACTCTAATAGATTAAGGCGCTCGTCGACGGAAATTAGGAATTGAAGATTGGGTGTCGCATTAACGTCGCCATTATCATTTTTTAAATCGCAAGTTTGGATTCTCGAGATTAATTACCATCGAGTCGACTAACCCGACATCGCGTCGTCCGCGCGGCTCGACTCCGTGCCAAACCAATCACCGTCATTTTTCCCCATCTTTTCCCTTGCTCACCGTCGGAACACCACCTCACCACCGGCCCCCCTCTCTTCTTCTTTCTTTCTTTTCTTCCCTTTTTGTTTCTTTTCTTTCCCCCTCACCGCCAGGGATCACCACCACCAGCAGCCACCCCTTCCCCTTCTCTTCTTTGTCATCTTTCCCCCTCTACCACTTGGCAAAGGAGAGATACCAAGTGACACCCATGCATGCAAGGGAGCTGAAAGGACTTCGGATAATGATTTCCCCCCCCCCCAGCTTACTCTTCCCAGCTCACTCCCTCAACTCTCTCTCTCTCACTCTCGCCCAGCTCTCTCTTGCCACTCTCGTCTCTCTCTCTCTCTCTCTCTCTCTCTCTCTGCCGTCCGGAAGCCAGCCAGTCCGCCTGACCAGCAGCTGCTGTCCTTCTGCCCCATTCGCAACCAGAAGAAGCGACTAGCAGTTCCGTCTCTGCACACCAGCAGCAGCAGCAGCACCCGCTAGCTCGGTCCCGAAACCAGCGACTCTCTTGCTCTCTCTCTCTCAACCAGGACCCGCCGTCGTGACCGCCACTCTCGCCAGCAAGGAAGTGTGCCTTTCACTTCATACTAACCATGACAATGTGTTACGTGTCGATTTTGGGTCTCGGATAGGTCGCTGAGTGGCTGGAATGGCGGTAAGAGAGTTCGATCTGTGTATAGTTGCTGCTCTGGTGTAGTTGAACTCCTAGAATGATTTTTGATGGATCTAGATTGCTAGATTCAGTTGGAAAAGGTGTTGCATATCGATTTGAAGGCTTGATGTGGTTTTTCCTTGGCTAAGAAGCGGTGGATCTCAAGTTGAAAATCGTTTTCTTGAAGTTTTGTCTCGGTTCCAGAACTGACTTTTCTGGACGTTCCTGGTTTTCTATTTTTGTAGTGCCTTTTGTGGTCCGAATCTCGTGAAATGTTCTTCCATCAAAGTTGTTCAGAAGATCTTTATTTATAACATACTTAAATTTCAGATTTTTCTAAGTTCAAATGGATTTTACGAAGGTCCAACTTCTTACCGACTCATAGCTGTTTTATATCGCGGAACCCGTGACCTTCGTGCCTTCTCGAATTTTTATAAAAATTTCCTCTTTGAATTTGGTCACACTTCCTTCACAAATTTTGTTCAAGAAGCCCTTGTATACAACATATAAAAATTTCGAAGCATTTCAAAATATTTTGGTTTGTGAAACGAGCATTCTTTGTGACTCGGCTTCCCTGTTTCGACAGACCAGTTCTGGTCTGTTTTCGAGCCATTAAAAGTGGCCTTTACAGGAGGATTTTGGGATTGTGTTCTCATGGAAAATATTTGATAAGGTATTGTTTATAACATATTCTAATTTCAGAATTTTGGAATCTATTTGCTATGCCTTTGAAATTGATTTCCCAAGTCATGCAAATTTGTCCAGTTTCACTAGATATCTTTAAACTGCCGGTTTTTACTTAAAAACATTGGCTTTTTTATTCTGGTCTACTAGAGATAGTAACCACTCTTACTTATCTTTTCAATTATGCTTATTTG